TTGGCACGGTTAGTTTTCTGTGAAAGTTACCCAATCCGTGGCGAACATTACCGGTACTTGTACTCAATTCGTCCCCTTACCCCTGCTAGTTGAGCACCCCCTTGCTAGTAAAATATACAAAACTTAGGTGCTCTACCTCTGTATGCCCTTTCACCCTTATCGAGCGCGTGGAGAGGGGAGCGCCATTCTGGGGAACGAAATCCACCGAATTCTGGGGCGGTTTTTGGCATCCGTCCACGCCATACCGTACGTGAATCTTTCATTGCAAGGGATTCGTCCTGTTTTCACAGATACCGGTATCGGACAGGAGGAGACGTGTTTCTAATCTTGTACTATACTGTGAAATGCCGGCACCCGTATGCAACTGCTGCAGTCAATTCAGGCACAGTACTCGTACTCTACAGGGTATCCAACCGGACTGGAACTAGGGCATTCTCATACCATATGGGGGTGGTGAATCTGATCAGCATGAGTGTTACGGTTCCTGACTTCCATCTGTCCGTTTTCGCAACAGCATCGGCTCGCAGAATAGAGTGCTCATATACGAGTAGCACTTGAGCACTGGTAGAGCCGCCCCATCTATCAGGCCAGGTTGACAACCCCCGAAGTTCAGCTGCGGACAACCCTACAGCACTCCATTCCATTCCACCGCATCCCACCGCCTCGAGCACTTCTCCATCAAACACCGCTGTTTGACGTTGGGATCGGTGCACGGGCTCGACATGCGACTTCAAGAGTTTTATAACCGGGATTCGTCCAAAAATGACAGTACTGTATTATACTCGTACGAGCACTTAGCAAGGGGTAGGCGTTTTGCTCGTATCCTTGCCAATCCACTCCACGGGACGGTACCGTGGTTGCTATTATTACGGCGGTTCAGTGACAGGTTCGGGGTGTTGGAACATGTGTCCAATAGCAACAACCTCCCTATCACACCGCACGCTGTGAGAAACTCTACCAAACCAACCACCAACCGCGATACGGGGGCTGTTCAACGCCAGCCTACCGGTACGTAGGCCCTCGCCAACCAAAACAGCAGCTTGGAGCACCCGGCAGGCCCACCCAGCACGGCGGACAAGAAACAAAGCTGTTTCTGTAAAGGCACTGGTCCGGTGGCAGAGAAAAGCCCGTTTCGCGTGCGAGCAAAGCAAGCAGGCAAATCGATCGCACCGGGTAGGGCAAGAGAAAACCCATCAGAGCATCGGGTATGCCAAGGAAAGGCCTCGATGGGGGGAAACCCATTCCATCCTGAAACGACACGGGAATTCAAGCTGACCGGGATGGGCATCTCTTTTGCCTTCGGGGTTATGCAGGGCTCGCTTAGGTACTCGAGTATGACACTCCCCCGTACTACAAGTGAGCAGGGTTTTCCAGACACTTTGCCCGGGCATGATACAGACATCAAACCTCCCCTGACCGCGCTAAAGCTGTTGGAATTCTCCTTCCGGCCAAGCGCGCCTGCCTACCGCTGCCATTTCCACTCTTAGTACCATAGGTATTTGTAACTACCAACCTTCCTCACAGTACTCGAGTACTCGTACAGTACCGTACTGTACTCGTACTCTAGTACTTCCTTCCTTCACTGCAATAAACCCACTGCCCCTCCCGGACCGCAGTTGGTTACCGGTACTCGAGTGCTGTAACTTGCTTGCCGCACAATCTGCAATAAGATGCCGTACGTACGAGTACGAGTACTACACAAGTACTAGTACAGTCGCAATCATAGCCACAAGCGGCCAACTCCACCCCCCTCCCCCGCATTCTCCCTCCCAGTAAGGGATGGAGAACAAAGGGCCCCACAGATCTGTGTGGATCGCCGGGCTATGATACCGTACGGTACTCGTACTCACTGTACTACTCCTACCGGCACTACCGCCACCTCAGTATAGTTCTCACACCCCCCAAGAACTAGGGCAAGAGAACAGCAAGAACCTTTTAGATAGCCGTTTTCAGATACGCCTCTGAGGATACTGTAAATTTTTATCCCAATCCGTCTCATTGAACAAAGAAAGAGAGAGAGAGAGAAAGAGGGCAATGGAAGCGCTTCCAGATGCGGCTGCTGGTATGAGAACTTCGAGTGCGGCACACAAACGACACACTCGAGCGCATCACAAGCATTAAGCACGCTAAACTGTTTGCGCCCCCAAGGATTAGGAAGAACAAGCCGTTGAGACTTGTATCACTACCTGACTCCTCAAGTGCTTCAGGATGCAATACCGGTAGGGGAGGATGGCCATAACGCTTACCTACCCGTTCCGTACAAGCTAGGAAAAAAGAAGGAAGGAGAGTTCCAAACCCCCTTGGAGCTCTCCTTTAACGGTACTCCTGGGGAATTTGGTCTCGTCCTCCTTTGTTTCTTGGCTCGAGACGTTATAAGTGTAGGATATCCTCCCCACATTCCTGCTTGTCGTCGTTTTTCTCCTATTCCCTCACTTTTTCCGCTCATCCCTTAGTCCACCTGTCTCCCTTTCGTATTTCGTATTTCCTACCAAACCGGCAAGTTCGGTAGCGCTAGTCGCATTCGCTTCTTCTTCGAAAAATCCAAACAGTCTTTTCAAATTTGTTTCCTTCGTTCATATCCTTCCAGTCTACTCTCCACCCTTTACAATCAATCAATCAGCCCATATCGGTCTAAATCTTAATACCAAACAAAGGAAGAAAAATAATGTTGTTCAAAACCGCCCTCCTAGCGAGCACCTTCGCCCTCCTCTCGAACGCTCAATCCAGCGTATCAAGCGACCCACCAACCCCAAGCGGGAGCGTAAAGCAGCACGTGATCCAAGTTGGAGATGCGGCCGGCACGCTAAAGTTCTTTCCAGAAGCCGTGACAGCCGTCCCCGGCGACATGGTGCAATTCCAATTCTACCCCCAAGTATGCTTTCCCTCCCTCCTTGCGCTCGGTATGAGCAGAAAATAAGGTTCTGACGGGAGGTAAAAAAATAAAATAAACAGAACCACTCGGTAGCCCAAGCCTCCTTCGACAAGCCCTGCGAGCCCCTCGCTCAGTCGAACGGTACGGCGGGTTTCTGGTCCGGCTTCATGCCGGTGTCCGCGTCCAGCACGGTGATGCCCATCTTCTCCATCCGCATCAACGATACCAGGCCGATATGGTTCTACTGCGCCACCGGCCGGCACTGTCAGGGCGGCATGACGGGCGTTATCAACCCGCCCGCAACGGGGGATCGTACCGCCGCCTCGTTCAAATCCGCCGCCTCGAATGTCGCGCTGACCGGGGTTCCGGGCAGCGCTGCGGGTTCCGGGGGGTCGAATTCGACTTCCGGGGCCGGAAGCGGAGGCGCAAGTGGAAGTGGTGGGAGTTCCGGTACTGGTCTTGGTAGCATAATCCCTGGGAACAATACTAACGGTGGGGCAGTACCGAGCGTTACGCCAGCCCCCGGCGCCGCGAGCGAACTTCGTGTCTGGAAGGGGTGGGCCGTTGTGGTTGGTGGGATTGTGGGGTTGCTGGTGCTATGAGCTGAATAGTTAGTCGGTTGATCTTTGTTTGTCTGTATTGTTTTGGTTTCCGATCTTTGACGGCAGGGTGATTGTATAGTGGTAATATAGAGCAGATCACGCTGGACGGATTTTTTTTGATTTTTTTCTTCAC